CAGGTCTGGTCGGAATAACTGGAGCTTGTGCTAACTATTAATGATTGTCCAGGTCTGGTCGGAATAACTGGAGCTTGTGCTAACTATTAATGATTGTCCAGGTCTGGTCGGAATAACTGGAGCTTGTGCTAACTATTAATGATTGTCCAGGTCTGGTCGGAATAACTGGAGCTTGTGCTAACTATTAATGATTGTCCAGGTCTGGTCGGAATAACTGGAGCTTGTGCTAACTATTAATGATTGTCCAGGTCTGGTCGGAATAACTGGAGCTTGTGCTAACTATTAATGATTGTCCAGGTCTGGTCGGAATAACTGGAGCTTGTGCTAACTATTAATGATTGTCCAGGTCTGGTCGGAATAACTGGAGCTTGTGCTAACTATTAATGATTGTCCAGGTCTGGTCGGAATAACTGGAGCTTGTGCTAACTATTAATGATTGTCCAGGTCTGGTCGGAATAACTGGAGCTTGTGCTAACTATTAATGATTGTCCAGGTCTGGTCGGAATAACTGGAGCTTGTGCTAACTATTAATGATTGTCCAGGTCTGGTCGGAATAACTGGAGCTTGTGCTAACTATTAATGATTGTCCAGGTCTGGTCGGAATAACTGGAGCTTGTGCTAACTATTAATGATTGTCCAGGTCTGGTCGGAATAACTGGAGCTTGTGCTAACTATTAATGATTGTCCAGGTCTGGTCGGAATAACTGGAGCTTGTGCTAACTATTAATGATTGTCCAGGTCTGGTCGGAATAACTGGAGCTTGTGCTAACTATTAATGATTGTCCAGGTCTGGTCGGAATAACTGGAGCTTGTGCTAACTATTAATGATTGTCCAGGTCTGGTCGGAATAACTGGAGCTTGTGCTAACTATTAATGATTGTCCAGGTCTGGTCGGAATAACTGGAGCTTGTGCTAACTATTAATGATTGTCCAGGTCTGGTCGGAATAACTGGAGCTTGTGCTAACTATTAATGATTGTCCAGGTCTGGTCGGAATAACTGGAGCTTGTGCTAACTATTAATGATTGTCCAGGTCTGGTCGGAATAACTGGAGCTTGTGCTAACTATTAATGATTGTCCAGGTCTGGTCGGAATAACTGGAGCTTGTGCTAACTATTAATGATTGTCCAGGTCTGGTCGGAATAACTGGAGCTTGTGCTAACTATTAATGATTGTCCAGGTCTGGTCGGAATAACTGGAGCTTGTGCTAACTATTAATGATTGTCCAGGTCTGGTCGGAATAACTGGAGCTTGTGCTAACTATTAATGATTGTCCAGGTCTGGTCGGAATAACTGGAGCTTGTGCTAACTATTAATGATTGTCCAGGTCTGGTCGGAATAACTGGAGCTTGTGCTAACTATTAATGATTGTCCAGGTCTGGTCGGAATAACTGGAGCTTGTGCTAACTATTAATGATTGTCCAGGTCTGGTCGGAATAACTGGAGCTTGTGCTAACTATTAATGATTGTCCAGGTCTGGTCGGAATAACTGGAGCTTGTGCTAACTATTAATGATTGTCCAGGTCTGGTCGGAATAACTGGAGCTTGTGCTAACTATTAATGATTGTCCAGGTCTGGTCGGAATAACTGGAGCTTGTGCTAACTATTAATGATTGTCCAGGTCTGGTCGGAATAACTGGAGCTTGTGCTAACTATTAATGATTGTCCAGGTCTGGTCGGAATAACTGGAGCTTGTGCTAACTATTAATGATTGTCCAGGTCTGGTCGGAATAACTGGAGCTTGTGCTAACTATTAATGATTGTCCAGGTCTGGTCGGAATAACTGGAGCTTGTGCTAACTATTAATGATTGTCCAGGTCTGGTCGGAATAACTGGAGCTTGTGCTAACTATTAATGATTGTCCAGGTCTGGTCGGAATAACTGGAGCTTGTGCTAACTATTAATGATTGTCCAGGTCTGGTCGGAATAACTGGAGCTTGTGCTAACTATTAATGATTGTCCAGGTCTGGTCGGAATAACTGGAGCTTGTGCTAACTATTAATGATTGTCCAGGTCTGGTCGGAATAACTGGAGCTTGTGCTAACTATTAATGATTGTCAGGTCTGGTCGGAATAACTGGAGCTTGTGCTAACTATTAATGATTGTCCAGGTCTGGTCGGAATAACTGGAGCTTGTGCTAACTATTAATGATTGTCCAGGTCTGGTCGGAATAACTGGAGCTTGTGCTAACTATTAATGATTGTCCAGGTCTGGTCGGAATAACTGGAGCTTGTGCTAACTATTAATGATTGTCCAGGTCTGGTCGGAATAACTGGAGCTTGTGCTAACTATTAATGATTGTCCAGGTCTGGTCGGAATAACTGGAGCTTGTGCTAACTATTAATGATTGTCCAGGTCTGGTCGGAATAACTGGAGCTTGTGCTAACTATTAATGATTGTCCAGGTCTGGTCGGAATAACTGGAGCTTGTGCTAACTATTAATGATTGTCCAGGTCTGGTCGGAATAACTGGAGCTTGTGCTAACTATTAATGATTGTCCAGGTCTGGTCGGAATAACTGGAGCTTGTGCTAACTATTAATGATTGTCCAGGTCTGGTCGGAATAACTGGAGCTTGTGCTAACTATTAATGATTGTCCAGGTCTGGTCGGAATAACTGGAGCTTGTGCTAACTATTAATGATTGTCCAGGTCTGGTCGGAATAACTGGAGCTTGTGCTAACTATTAATGATTGTCCAGGTCTGGTCGGAATAACTGGAGCTTGTGCTAACTATTAATGATTGTCCAGGTCTGGTCGGAATAACTGGAGCTTGTGCTAACTATTAATGATTGTCCAGGTCTGGTCGGAATAACTGGAGCTTGTGCTAACTATTAATGATTGTCCAGGTCTGGTCGGAATAACTGGAGCTTGTGCTAACTATTAATGATTGTCCAGGTCTGGTCGGAATAACTGGAGCTTGTGCTAACTATTAATGATTGTCCAGGTCTGGTCGGAATAACTGGAGCTTGTGCTAACTATTAATGATTGTCCAGGTCTGGTCGGAATAACTGGAGCTTGTGCTAACTATTAATGATTGTCCAGGTCTGGTCGGAATAACTGGAGCTTGTGCTAACTATTAATGATTGTCCAGGTCTGGTCGGAATAACTGGAGCTTGTGCTAACTATTAATGATTGTCCAGGTCTGGTCGGAATAACTGGAGCTTGTGCTAACTATTAATGATTGTCCAGGTCTGGTCGGAATAACTGGAGCTTGTGCTAACTATTAATGATTGTCCAGGTCTGGTCGGAATAACTGGAGCTTGTGCTAACTATTAATGATTGTCCAGGTCTGGTCGGAATAACTGGAGCTTGTGCTAACTATTAATGATTGTCCAGGTCTGGTCGGAATAACTGGAGCTTGTGCTAACTATTAATGATTGTCCAGGTCTGGTAGGAATAACTGGAGCTTGTGCTAACTATTAATGATTGTCCAGGTCTGGTCGGAATAACTGGAGCTTGTGCTAACTATTAATGATTGTCCAGGTCTGGTCGGAATAACTGGAGCTTGTGCTAACTATTAATGATTGTCCAGGTCTGGTCGGAATAACTGGAGCTTGTGCTAACTATTAATGATTGTCCAGGTCTGGTCGGAACAACTGGAGCTTGTGCTAACTATTAATGATTGTCCAGGTCTGGTCGGAATAACTGGAGCTTGTGCTAACTATTAATGATTGTCCAGGTCTGGTCGGAATAACTGGAGCTTGTGCTAACTATTAATGATTGTCCAGGTCTGGTCGGAATAACTGGAGCTTGTGCTAACTATTAATGATTGTCCAGGTCTGGTAGGAATAACTGGAACTTGTGCTAACTATTAATGATTGTCCAGGTCTGGTCGGAATAACTGGAGCTTGTGCTAACTATTAATGATTAATCAGGTCTGGTCGGAATAACTGGAGCTTGTGCTAACTATTAATGATTGTCCAGGTCTGGTAGGAATAACTGGAGCTTGTGCTAACTATTAATGATTGTCCAGGTCTGGTCGGAATAACTGGAGCTATTGCTAACTATTAATGATTGTCCAGGTCTGGTCGGAATAACTGGAGCTTGTGCTAACTGTTAATGATTGTCCAGGTCTGGTCGGAATAACTGGAGCTTGTGCTAACTATTAATGATGTTGCAGGTCTGGTCGGAATAACTGGAGCTTGTGCTAACTATTAATGATTGTCCAGGTCTGGTAGGAATAACTGGAGCTTGTGCTAACTATTAATGATTAATCAGGTCTGGTAGGAATAACTGGAGCTTGTACTAACTATTAATGATTGTCCAGGTCTGGTCGGAATAACTGGAGCTTGTGCTAACTATTAATGATGTTGCAGGTCTGGTCGGAATAACTGGAGCTTGTGCTAACTATTAATGATTGTCCAGGTCTGGTCGGAATAACTGGAGCTTGTGCTAACTATTAATGATTAATCAGGTCTGGTCGGAATAACTGGAGCTTGTGCTAACTATTAATGATTGTCCAGGTCTGGTCGGAATAACTGGAGCTTGTGCTAACTATTAATGATTGTCCAGGTCTGGTCGGAATAACTGGAGCTTGTGCTAACTATTAATGATTGTCCAGGTCTGGTAGGAATAACTGGAGCTTGTGCTAACTATTAATGATTGTCCAGGTCTGGTCGGAATAACTGGAGCTTGTGCTAACTATTAATGATTGTCCAGGTCTGGTCGGAATAACTGGAGCTTGTGCTAACTATTAATGATTGTCCAGGTCTGGTCGGAATAACTGGAGCTTGTGCTAACTATTAATGATTCTCCAGGTCTGGTCGGAATAACTGGAGCTTGTGCTAACTATTAATGATTGTCCAGGTCTGGTCGGAATAACTGGAGCTTGTACTAACTATTAATGATTGTCCAGGTCTGGTCGGAATAACTGGAGCTTGTGCTAACTATTAATGATTGTCCAGGTCTGGTCGGAATAACTGGAGCTTGTGCTAACTATTAATGATTGTCCAGGTCTGGTCGGAATAACTGGAGCTTGTGCTAACTATTAATGATTGTCCAGGTCTGGTCGGAATAACTGGAGCTTGTGCTACAGTTGACACAGAATGGGCTCTCTTTATTGGAATGGTATCCGGTCTTATCTACTTCTCCCTGACCAAAGTCTTCCTTAACCGTGAGTAAACTGTCATTATCAAGGTGTTATTAGGTGTTAATAATGTGTTACTAAGGTGTTACTAAGGTGTTAATAAGATGTTACTAAGGTGTTACTAAGGTGTTACTAAGGAATCTGTTTTGCCTAACCCCCTCTTTACAGTCCAGATAGATGACGTGGTTAGGTGTTACTAGGTGTTACTAAGGTGTTACTAAGTGTTACTAAGGTGTTACTAAGGTGTTACTAAGGAATTTGTTTTGCCTAACCCCCTCTTTACAGTCCAGATAGACGACGTGGTTGATGGTGTACAGATTCACCTGTGCTGTGGTATTTGGTCTGTTATTGCTACTGCTCTCTTTTCGTCAAGAGACTTGGTTAAGGTAAATGTTACTGGTAACCACTGGTTAAGGTACATTTTACTGGTAACCACTGGCAACCACTGGTTAAGGTGAATTTTACTGGTAACCAGTGGAAACCACTGGTTTACTGGCTAACAACCACTGGTTAAATCACTTAAACTTGAAGCAAAAAAAGTTGAAACTGAAATCTCTTCATTTTTTATGAATGATTGTGGAATTAAACCCAATTAAAATAGTTAAATTATTTCTTCAGGTTGCATATCCAGATTTTGAGGACGAAAGTGTGCCTTGTGGATTATTCTATCAGTGCAACGGTTTAGGTATGTTTTTGATTTCGTAAAGTGTAGCTTTCAAAATTTCTGTCTCCTTATTTTCATGTGTATTTGGACCACAACAAACTCTTATCTAGGTCTATTTGAAAGCAATATGGGGTATTCTTTCCCACACACCCGTTATGTGCACTCAACACTGCAAGTCAGTTAATGAGGTACATGTTTATTTCAGGTTCGGTACAGCTAGCAGCTAACCTAGTTTACTGTGCTCTAATAATCCTGTGGATAGGACTCACTTCCGGTCTCATCATCCTACCTCTCTGGTACTTCGATCTTATTCGGGTATGTGCACTTCTTGACACGGACACATTCCCTTATTCGGGTATGTGCACTTCTTGACACGGACACATTCCCTTATTCGGGTATGTGCACTTCTTGACACGGACACATTCCCTTATTCGGGTATGTGCACTTCTTGACACGGACACATTCCCTTATTCGGGTATGTGCACTTCTTGACACGGACACATTCCCTTATTCGGGTATGTGCACTTCTTGACACGGACACATTCCTTTATTCGGGTATGTGCACTTCTTGACACGGACACATTCCCTTATTCGGGTATGTGCACTTCTTGACACGGACACATTCCCTTATTCGGGTATGTGCACTTCTTGACACGGACACATTCCCCTATTCGGGTATGTGCACTTCTTGACACGGACACATTCCCCTATTCGGGTATGTGCACTTCTTGACACAGACACATTCCCTTATTCGGGTATGTGCACTTGACACGGACACATTCCCCTATTCGGGTATGTGCACTTCTTGATGTCCATTTTGAAATGCTGTTGCACCTAGTGCCAGCTTGATATACGACTACTGGTTGAGATAAGTTAAACTTCATCAGTTATTTAGATGAAGTCTAAACCCACTGTTACTATATATTGATTATTCAAACGATTGGCGCTTTGATATTGCATTTGACCACCAAAGGGTTCGAAAAATCCTTTCCAATATTAACCCTAACAAAGCTTATGGGCCTGACGGTATTCATGGGAAACTTTTGAAAAACTGTGCTGTTGGGCTTGCATACCCATTATCACTATTATTTCATTCATGTTACAACATTGGGACATTACCTAGGGAGTGGAAACTGGGACACGTTGTACCCATATATAAAAAAGGTGATAAACACGAGGTTTCAAATTATAGGCCAATATCCCTTACATGCTTAATCACCAAAGTTCTTGAACGCATAATTAAAGATGAGTTACTTGCACTTACTAACGGCATGATCAACGATAAACAACACGGTTTTCGAGCTGAAAGATCATGTGCAACTAATCTTGTAGGTCTATGTGACAGCCTAGCTCTCTCACTGAATGAAAATATGAGAACAGATGTAGTCTACTTTGATTTTGCCAAAGCTTTCGACTCAGTTAACCATGATCTTATATTATTTAAGCTAAAGAGCAAATTTGGTATTGATGGGAGGCTACTGAAATTCATCACTGATTATCTAAGAGACAGGCAACAACAGGTCTTGATAAGTGGTAAGTTTTCTTCCATGAGAAACGCCCAATCTGGTGTACCACAAGGGTCAATTTTGGGACCTTTGTTGTTCATTATGTTCATTGATGATATATCAGTGGGGATTTCACCTGGCACACAACTGTCACTGTATGCCGATGATACTAAAATTTGGCGTGAGATTGTTTCGGAGTCTGATATCCTGCGACTGCAGAAGGACATTGATTATCTCCATGACTGGTCACTTTCTAATAAAATGAGATTTCATCCCGACAAATGTAAGGTCCTCACCGTCGCAGGAAGGATATCCGAAACAGTTTCCCTCCTTAGTGTCCTACCACTCTTTAACTTTGTATACTCCATGGGAAGAATCGCACTTGACTATGTCGATCATGAAAAGGATTTGGGTGTTTTTGTGACCAAGAATCTCGACTGGCAAGACCAGTGCTCTAAAGTCCTCTCAAAGGCCAACCAAAAATTAGGCATGGCAAGGAGAAACTGCTATTTTGTTCAAGATGTAAATCGTCGTAGAGTACTGTATCTCACTTTAATGAGAAGTCAATTTGAGCATTGCTCAGTTATATGGAGACCGGTCACAAAATCCCAGATAAGCAAGCTGGAGGGCCTCCAAAAGCGTGCTATTAAGTGGATTCTTCGCGAGGAGTATATGAGTTATCCACCATCCACATACATTCAGAAATGCAGACAGCTTAAGATTATGCCCATAGAAGACCGCTTCGACTTTCTTGACCTTATTTTCTTCTTTAAAATTGTGAAGCAACATATTCCTGTCACTTTACCCTCATATTTGCAACCATATCAAGGCCACTCAAGGTTAAGAAATAGCCACATGGACCCCTTATGTTTTGTAAGCTCGATCTTACCACGAGCAAGCTCTAACGCTTTTGCTAAGAACTTTTACTTTAGGACCCATTCCAAATGGAATCATATTCCTCTAGATATACGTGAGATAGAGACTATTTCTGAGTTCAAAAGCAAATTGACCTCCTACATGTGGGATAAAATTATGCCGGAGGACTTTGATTATGATCTAGATTTTTCCCTCGAGACAGAGATGTGAAGCAGTTTACCTAAAGCTAACAATATGTTCATAAGGAGCTTAAATCCCTGTTGTCTGTATTTCTCATTTCTCATTTTAGCGCATGTCATCACATCATGGATTTCACTTTATTATATGATTTGATTGCTTTTGATATTTTTGTGTGTTTCTATTTGAAATTCTATTTAAAATTTAAGATTTTCGTGGGCCCATACTTGTGCAGGAGGTGCATTTTGCTCTCAACATCTGTGTTTTGGTGACCCTCAGGTCCTTTAATTACATACATTTTGTCCTAGAAAATCTGATTTTATCGGAGTCTTATACTTTTGAGAAAATTGAATGTTGTTCATTCATTGTGTAAATTTGTATGTAATTGATCGATTTGAAAGATTTCAATAAAAAAAAAAATATATCTACTACTTAAACCTACTTCAGTACTCGTCCCGCACTGACGGAGAAGATACACAGAGCGACTACACTGGGGATACAGACTCAGCTGACTCAGACACACACAACTTAATTCAAGACAGCAACATTGGCAGAGGTACTTCTTCATCAACCCCAACTCTCATTGTGATATTTTAAAAATCGTCTTATGTGAAACAGTTGAATATGTTTTTAAACTTGAGATTGTAGTGAAAAAACACGTCATGTCTAATGACTCCGATAGAACAATCAGTACAGAAGTTTTATGTTTATTGTTTTTATACTTATAGTGGATGCGGAGTTAAAGACAATTGAAGAAAGGAACAGTCCAGGGATATCGCCCCCTGGTCGAGTTAGAAACGAGTTAGTGATCCGGGAAGAAAAGGAAGGAGAGGAAGGAGAGGAAGAAGATAAAGATGGGAAAGAAGAGAAAGAAGAGAAAGAAGAGGATAATGAGTCTAGCCTACAAAAGAAAGCAAAAATAGCAGACGAAATTAGAAATGCTTCCTTACAGTCTGGTAAGTTTGCTGTTAGTAGATGGTTTGGAGTGGGGGGGGGGGGGGGGGGGGGGGAGAGAGTTATCAAAATGAATTTTTCTAAATTCAAACGCCCTTAGTCAATTTTCAAAAAGTAGGTCTTCATTGTACGATCAAAATCTATTTTTCTGGCAGCTGTTGACCCCCTAGGACGCATTCTCGTTCCTAATTAAGATGGAATCTTATAAGATTCTGTCTACTTTACGGCCATAAATAATTTGTTGATAACAGTCATTAACACAAAAAGAAAGTTCAATCTTTAGAAAAATGTAGCGAATTGAACTAAAAGTACTGTATTTTGTAACAAACGAGACTTATAGTGAAGATACACATTTTATCCGAAAATTGAAAACATAAAGCGGACATATAAATCACATATATATAATATGTAATGTAATGGTTATGTGATTTAATGATTACAAAATTTGCACCGAGGTCCATTCGGCTAGATGTCATGTATTGTATTGTATTCCTTGTCATATCCTAGAATCGAATGTAATCTTAAGGAACCATCTCCTTGACCACGAGAACATGTCATATCCTAGAATCAAATGTAATCTTAAGGAACCATCTCCTTGACCTCGAGAACATGTCATATCCTAGAATCAAATGTAATCTTAAGGAACCATCTCCTTGACCTCGAGAACATGTCATATCCTAGAATCAAATGTAATCTTAAGGAACCATCTCCTTGACCTCGAGAACATGTCATATCCTAGAATCAAATGTAATCTTAAGGAACCATCTCCTTGACCTCGAGAACATGTCATATCCTAGAATCAAATGTAATCTGAAGGTACCATCTCCTTGACCTCGAGAACATGTTATATCCTAGAATCAAATGTAATCTTAAGGAACCATCTCCTTGACCTCGAGAACATGTCATATCCTAGAATCAAATTTAATCTTAAGGAACCATCTCCTTGACCTCGAGAACATGTCATATCCTAGAATCAAATGTAATCTTAAGGAACCATCTCCTTGACCTCGAGAACATGTCATATCCTAGAATCAAATGTAATCTTAAGGAACCATCTCCTTGACCTCGAGAACATGTCATATCCTAGAATCAAATGTAATCTTAAGGTACCATCTCCTTGACCTCGAGAACATGTCATATCCTAGAATCAAATGTAATCTTAAGGAACCATCTCCTTGACCTCGAGAACATGTCATATCCTAGAATCAAATGTAATCTTAAGGAACCATCTCCTTGACCTCGAGAACATGTCATATCCTAGAATCAAATGTAATCTTAAGGAACCATCTCCTTGACCACGAGAACATGTCATATCCTAGAATCAAATGTAATCTTAAGGAACCATCTCCTTGACCACGAGAACATGTTATATCCTAGAATCAAATGTAACCTTAAGGAACCATCTCCTTGACAACGAGAACATGTCATATCCTAGAATCAAATGTAACCTTAAGGAACCATCTCCTTGACCACGAGAACATGTTATATCCTAGAATCAAATGTAACCTTAAGGAACCATCTCCTTGACCTCGAGAACATGTCATATCCTAGAATCAAATGTAATCTTAAGGAACCATCTCCTTGACCTCGAGAACATGTCATATCCTAGAATCAAATGTAATCTTAAGGAACCATCTCCTTGACCTCGAGAACATGTCATATCCTAGAATCAAATGTAATCTTAAGGAACCATCTCCTTGACCTCGAGAACATGTCATATCCTAGAATCAAATGTAATCTTAAGGAACCATCTCCTTGACCTCGAGAACATGTCATATCCTAGAATCAAATGTAATCTTAAGG